TTTGGGAAAGTACATTCTTCCCACAAAACAGGGGGGGGCACTCTGTTTTGAGGAGCTTTCCCAAAACATGTATTGATCTTCCCAAATTTTACAGGGCTCAAATACTCAGCCTATAGAGCAGAACAACATTCTGGCTTGAAGCTACTTTGCTTCTTCTTGTAGGAGGCTGAGTACAAAACAGAGAGAGACTTTAACGCACTGGGAGAGAAATGATGGAGCAAAGCAATCTCCTAAACAAATGGGGGGAGACGAGAGTTCCTCCTTTATGATCCGCCAAAAGTCTGTGTTGGAGCCTCTGTCCTTGTTACATGTTTTGTACAACAATTCCCCAAATTCCCAAGCTAACATGATCAGTCAGGCTTTATGTTAGAAACATTGTAGTACAATTAATAAACATAATTTTCATCCAGTGATGGGCAACACCAAGAGCATTTGGGGCAGCTAACATCACATGTACATGTTGAGGGACACAGAGTATACTGACTAGGGTATGATGCTGCCTGTTCTTTGCACTCACTTGGTTCTACTGACCCCAATCTGCAGCCTACGAAGTGACTTCCAAATAACCCATTTTTCTGTGTGACCAAGGTCTAGACTTTCCTGGCATTCCACCCATTTTAAGAAGTGGGTATTGTAGTTCTTTCTTTCTCCAGTCTTCATTAAAAATCCAAGTACAATTGTAGCGCCAGCTTGCCTAGTGTTGCAGTGACAGTGTAGGGCCAGGAGCACCCTGGCAGCTACCCATGCATACTGGTGCTGATCTCTTCCCAGTACGCATGGGTAGCTGGGAATAATCTTTGTGATTATTTTAGGAAAAAAATAGCTAAACACCTTGTGTTTTATGGAGTGATGCTCTTCTCACGTAGACAAGCAAAGCTTGGAAAACTTACTTTTTAGGACCGTATCTCCTGAAGTATCACTGTCCAAACCAGTGCTCTATTCCAGAGCACTGGACTGGCTCCTATTTTGTTCAACATTTCCCAATTATTTTCTCAAGGTACAACAAGCTTTATACTGATGATCTCCCCAGCTCAGTCCGTCAGCTTTCAGAGGACACATCATCTTCCAAAAGATGCATCAGAAGAAGACACACAACAGAAATGAGATGTTACTATAAATTCTCTTCAATTGCTGAATGAGAGGTGACAGGGTCATAATTGCTTTTTCTTAGTAGATGTATCACTGGCAGTTTCAATTTGTCTTATTGTCTTTCATCTGTGCTTCTTTTGAAAGGAAAGAAGGAAGGAAGGAAGGAAGGAAGGAAGGAAGGAAGGAAGGAAGGAAGGAACGAACGAACGAATGAACGAACGAACGAACGAAGGAAGGCCAAATTTCTAAGCCATTTTGGATTACTTAAAGACATTAGAGATTAATTAGAAAAGCCATCAACTGCAAAAGGCAAATGTTTGTTCATTTAGGAAATTCTTAAGACTTAGAAAAAATCTCTGTAATGCAAACAACTGCACTGTATGGGGAGAAGTCAGGGAGAAATAACTTATGTTCAGATTCATTTGACTCACTTGGCCTTTTAAAATATTCTACTCATTAGCTCATCTCTAGATTAACGCAGAGTCAACACTAAGAGATATGTGATCAAGCAGACTTGATACCCAATGGTGGGAGGTGATTCTTGAAGCACTCTAGTCTAGGCTGATTATTTCTTTCACTTAATACATTCATCTTAAAGAGTTGAGGATGGTGCATCAGGTCCCTTCTGAGGATACACTAACTGATCTTACTAACCACTGGAAACTTATAATCAGAGCGGGAGGTCCCTGAGCCCCAAATTTTGGGCTTATAACCCCCCTCCTTTGATCAGATCATAAGCTAACCCTGATCACAATGATCCTGCACTGGGCTATGGTTAGGTTAGAACTGAATAATGTGCACAAGGTAATTAAGTAAGGTTCCTGGCTGAGTGGAAATCTGAACCCACTCAGCCTTCCTAGTCCTAGTCCAACATATTAGTTGCTGTTATCACCCTGTTGCTGAAAAGAACAGCACCTTGAACTCAGCATAGTGTAGGTGGTAAAGGACTGAAGCCATTCAACATGTTTTGCTGGTTCAAAGGTCTGCAAGTTTTTTTTTTAAACAAACAGATGTACTCGGCCTTCTTCAAAGACAGTCCTGTGTAGCATGCATTATGATAAACCAGCCTGAAGGGAACCAGGAAGTGAATGACTATGTTCATGTCTGATTTCTCCAGAGAAAGCTATCGTTGATTCATCATTCAAAGATATCCAGTCTATCGAGCAAGATTAACGCTATAATAAATTACAAATAATTATAAAACAGTAAATCCCATCATCACCATCTCTCTTCTCAAAACATTATTTAGCAGAGTGCTGTCCTCTGAAGATGCCGGCCACAGAGACTGGCGAAACGTTAGGAAGAACAACCTTCAGAACACGGCCAAAGAGCCCGAACAACCATTATTTAACAGACTCACAACGACTCACAATATTTAGTAAAAAGAACCGTGTAACTGCATGCATTAGGCTGATTTTTCAAACTGAAATAAGGTTGTCTATTTTCTAGCCAATGTGCCCCAATATTGTCTTTCCTTTCTTCAGCCCATTTATTTATGTTTCTCATCAGAACAAAATTCTGTATTTTTTCAACCCAGTCCTCCACAACTGGGATGCTTGCCTCCAGTATTTCCTGGATACAAGTTATCATGTACCTGCTCCCCTCCATCCTCTATTGCTAACATAGAAAGACAGGCGTTCTTAGACTGCAACGGTCAGGAATCCTGGCCAGCACACATGGTGGTGAAAGCTTCTGGGAATTGCAGTCCAGGAACACCCAGGTTTACCCAGGGTTGGGAATAACTAATTTAGAGGATGAATGGATAGAAAAAAATAAGGGATGAATGACTAGGAATAATAAGAGGCCTTACTGTTTTATGCATTCTGGGATATTTTTATAATATCTTTAAATCTTTTAAAGAACATTCCCATCAAAAAAATTCCTTTCTTTCATGCGAGGTCCTGTACCTTGAGCTTTAATTTATGTCGTCATTTTTGTAAATTTTAGGGAATCCTGTTCTTCTTTGGCACAATTTTCACTTTACTGACAGCAGAAAACTATGCTGCAAGCCTGTACTCAATGACCTGACAGTAATTTGCATTGAAAGGAGTGGCCAGAATCCTATCACACCACGTGACTAGGTAAGGAAAACAGTGCAAGCAAGTGTAGCTTCTTAGGAGGCCATCCATTAGGCCTCCCCTTATCTATCACATATGCAAAGTGTCATGAGCAAAAGGGGACTGCTTGTGCTACTGCCCTTTACTGTGTGGTTTTCCTGAGTAGGATTCTGACCAAAGACACCTGCTTCTTAATACTTTAGATGCATGTCTACAATTGTAGATAAAATAGAGGGGAGCAGTTTCCATTCAGGGTTGGCTTTTCCTGTTGAGGGATGCTTATTTGAAAGAAGGGAGAATTTTTCACTAGGTATGTCAATCATGCTTAAATTGTATCTGTTTTATTCTTCTCTGAACAAGATAATGATGAAGATCTGGACACAAAGTGCTGCAGCAAGGGAGCAGTATAGGAAGCGCCACAAAGATGGAGATTTCGGGTTTTTTCCAGCTAGTGCAAAAGGGCAAGTTTCAATAAATCTTCCTTTCTATATACTGGGAGCATCTCCTTGGGCTCACTGGATAGCTTAGTGAGTTACGTACCTGGCTATGGAGCCAGAGGTTGGGAGTTCAATCTCTGTACTTTGCAAAAGAAAAGCCAGCCTGTATAGCCTTGGGCAAGCTGCACAGTCTGAGAGAGCCCTCAGAAGACACCAAGAGTAAACCACTTCTGAGTAGTCTATACCTAGAAAACCCTGGAAAGGGTCACC